GATCACCGGATCGGCCGGAAGTGCTATGAATGGCGTCAATGATTCCGTCGACTTCGTTGTCATCGATGACCACGTCTTTGAGAGCCTTCGCGGACCTATTGTTCTCCAAACCCTTCATAAACATATCCCTAATATTATTGGTCTTTTTGGGCGCCTTCTTCTCCTCACTGTCGTCGTCGGGACGGCTATAGAGCGACCCTTTGGTCGGATTGCGTCTCTTGTGTCCGCCGGAGTCGTGTTTCTTCGCCGCCGACGACGACTGTCTCTGCTGTTGATCGTCATCGAAGTCGTCGTCGAAGATCTCGCGTCCGGTGTCGGCGTAACCGCATCCGTCGTCGTCGACAATCCAGTCGTCGCGCTGTCTTCGGGACACTATCTCCGAGTACTCGTCTTCGTCCACCTCTTCGTAGACGTCCTCCTCTTCGGCCAACTCGTACTTATTCTTCGAGCCCTTCAGTTGTCTCAGTCGATCCAATGCCGACAACTTCTTCGACAACGTTTTGCTCGCTTTGCGCTTCTCTCGAGTGTTGGCTGAAGAGGAATAGACACCACATTCAGAGACCACACGAAGAGAGGGATGTGTTAAGGGATTCATTGATGAAATACTTACCGATTTCTGCCATAATTAGTGTCCAAAACGTGTCGACAATAATAATAATAAATGCAATCAAAACACAAAAATTCAGAGACCACACGAAGAGAGGGATGTGTTAAGGGATTCATTGATGAAATACTTACCGATTTCTGCCATAATTAGTGTCCAAAACGTGTCGACAATAATAATAATAAATGCAATCAAAACACAAACCAATTGTCTATCGTTTGCCGCCTTTACTATTGGCTAACAATAGGCGGCAACCAATCAGAACACGCCGTTTGGCGCCCAAACCTTGCGTCACACAGAATACAGACAACACATGATATGATGTACACTATTGTCGAGTTTGTTATGTTTTAATCGTTTTTATACTATTATTTTGTTACTCTTTTATGTTTATTGATTTACTGTTTAGTTTTGATTCAATTGAGACAATAATTAATATTTTTAATTGTGTTTTCAATACTAATAAATGAATTAATGATTTAAAAGCCAAAACTCAGTCATTAATAACGCGATGCCTTTAATCGCGGGGTTTATTGTGTAAGTGATTGAAATGCACTGAAAGTGGACTTTAAGGGGACTTTAATGCCATTGTTTACTCATAACGTTATTATTGGACACTTTGGACACAAATTGATTGTAAATACAGTGAAATGTGAATTGATTTGCATTGAAGTGAATGTAATGAGAAATGAATGCATAAGTGATTGTCATTAGAGGTCGACTATTGACTACTTTGTGACAAAAACATTAAAGTTTCCCAAACTTTACAAAAAAGTTTTGAAAACTTTTGAAAACAATTTTTTGTTCTAAAATTCAAACCCATTTCCAAACGCCTCTCATTTGAGAGATAATGAAAACGTTTTGACCAATAATTGGGTAGAAATTGATATCAATTCATATGAGATAAACATATCATTAGCTGTACTGACAGTGAGAGGGAGAGAGTAGACGTCATCGGGAGTTATATTACCACTCAATCACTCATACATTTACATCACTTAAGGCGAGTCAATTGAACCCATGCTTTATGTCCTTAAAATTTAATGTTAAAAACATTGCATTTATTTCGCAGACAATCCATTCGTTTGATCGCAACAACTATGGCCTCGAAGACAGTGAAGTTGAATAACGGCCGGGACTTCCCGTTAGTAGGTTTGGGCACTTGGAAGGCACCCGAAGGCGCCGTTTACGAGGCGGTCAAAGCGGCCATCGATGCCGGCTATCGTCACATCGACTGCGCCTTCGCGTACGGCAACGAGGCCGGGACTTCCCGTTAGTAGGTTTGGGCACTTGGAAGGCACCCGAAGGCGCCGTTTACGAGGCGGTCAAAGCGGCCATCGATGCCGGCTATCGTCACATCGACTGCGCCTTCGCGTACGGCAACGAAGCGGAGGTCGGAAGAGCTTTGAAGGAGTCCATCGGTTCCGGAAAAGTGAAGAGAGAGGAGCTGTTCATTACCAGCAAATTGTGGAACACTTACCACAAGAGAGAACGAGTGGGACTCTGTCTGGATATCACTCTCAAAGACTTAGGTCTCGATTATCTGGACTTATATCTAATCCATTGGCCGCTCGGCTATCAGGAGGGAGAGGAGAAGTTCCCGAAGAACGCCGCCGGAGAGGTTCTGGTCAGTGATGTTGACTTCGTTGAGACATATCTGGGTTTAGA